GTGTTTTTTCTTTTAATTAAACCTTATGAATTTACATGTGACGATATATAAAACAGCTATGTTTTCTTAGAAAAATGGGTTGAAATTTTCAGCATCATTACTCCATCCTTCAGTGTCACATGATTCTTTAGAAATCATTTAAATCTGCTGATTTTGTGCTGAAAATAAAATAAAAAAAATTTTTAAATATAAAATATTAATATAAAGCCTAACAGTCCCGGTGGGGCCAGTTGGCATTTCTGTGTGGAGTTTGCATGTTCTCCCTGTGTTGGCGTGGGTTTCCTCCAGGTGCTCCGGGTTTCCCGCCACAGTCCAAAGTCATGCGCTATAGGTAAATTGAATAAACTAAATGGGTGTTATTGTATGTGTGTGTGTGTGTGTGTGTGTGTGTGTGTGTGTGTGTGTGTGTGTGTGTGTGAATAAGTGTGCGTCAATGTTTCCCAGTACTAGTTTGCAGAAAAGCATCCAGTGCATAAAACCTATGTTGGAAGCTGGCAGTTTATTTCACTGTGGCGACCTCTGTCATAGAGGCTAAACTGAAGTAAAGTAAAATAAAAAAAAAAATAAATAAAATAATAATAAATTAAAAAAATAAAAAAATAAATAAAATAAAATAAAATAAAACTAAATTAAATTAAATTAAATCTGCTCTTTTAAAATTTATATTCATCCTGCAAATTTAGATGCTTTGGTTTTCAAAAAGGTTAGGTCAGGTTTATGCTATTTTATTTGGACCATTTGTTTTGCAGTCAAGAGTCCTCATGCATTACACAATCACTTTCCGTACCCACTGTAATTAGACACTGTTTTTTCTAAGAAATATTTGTTGCAAAATATATTGTTTTAAAAATCTAAAATATTTTTTTCACTCTAATATTGCTTGTTACTTTATTGTTTTTTAATTGAATGATAATATTGTAGTAAAAAGTACTTCTCATACATAAAAGCATATTCATCATATCAACATACTAGACTGGAGGTTGGATTTTTTATTTAATTATTTTTTTATGCAGTGTAAAGTACTCCTAAATGCTATCAGGATTCTCCCTAGTACAGTCGGTGAGCTTTTATACACAAAGTCCTATGAACCATTATTTGGATGATCTGAAGAATAAAACAACACAGTAAATCTCCCTGATCTTGAGAGCTTTAAAGGCCCAGACCTTTGTGCCGAACAAGAGAGGAGGATTTCAGATGGCTTTAATTTAAACCAACACCAACAAAGTGGGTCATGTTGGCACAACAGGAACAAGAGACACCTAGTCAAAACAGTCTTTGAGGGCTTCAAAGTAAACGCTGAGTGCCTGCATGCAGCGCTGGTGAGACAGTAGCTCACTGACATACAAATACTTCAGAGGTTTAATCCCGCCTGTGTTTCCACAACATGAACGCAACCACCTCCACCAAGCATACGGCCATTAAGAACTGAGGCATGTAATCTTACACAGGAATTAATTGCAAAACATCCTCTGGATTAATCAGGAAGCTGAGGTTAGACTTATAAAAGAACTTATGAAGCAGTTTTTTTGATGTGACTCGGTGAGTTTATATTCTGCAGACTGAAGTAAAGCTTTGAAGTTTCCACAAGAGGGCAACACACAAGAAATAGTGGCCTCACTTCAACCACAACCACTTCAAACATGTCATACACATTTCACAATCAATTTAAATGAAGTTCTCTGGAAAATGAAACTATTACAAGATATCAAATAATTGTATTTTACATAATTTGTAGGGCTGTCAATTGATTAAAAAATTAACTAATTAATTACACTTTTTTTGTAATTAATCATGATTAAATCGCGAAAAGTCATATTGATTACAGAAATAAAAACACAGGCATGTAAGTACCATTTGAATTTCAAAACAATCAATGCCAATAACAAACAAAAATGATTTCAATGTTGGATTCTAAGTGGACAACAAAGAAAAATCCAAAATACAGGCATTGCAAATATGGAAAATTATACTAATCAAAAAGTATTGAATTCAGTGTTTCCTCTAGGATTTTTTCCAGCTGTGATGGCGGCAGGCCTTTTTTACATCGATCCACCAACTACCTGTGGCGTTATTTCAAAGACAAATGTTGTGAGATCGCATTTATGTATAAGCCTACAGCACAAAACTTCTTGCACGCCCCCTCAAATATACGCTGCTCACTATAAAATAGTTAACTAGTTAAATGAGTGAATAAAATTACATCACCAAACAATGTAATCCAATAGATTACTTTCCATGAGGTAACCGCTGAACCAGTCAGGTCACATAACACATTGATGTTGTCATTATGGCTTTTGCATTCTAGGTGAGCTTTCAATTCAGTAAAGGGGCATCTGAAAAGTTCAAACTGTGTAAACCACTGGCAATATGTATTTTACTCTTATGTGCGTCATAATATTGACCCATAAGTAAACACGCCCTGTTTACTTTACAGTGGATCTCCCCATGGAGCGCAGAATACTCCAGCACACAACTCTGACCATTCATAAAGAAGAAGAGATACAAGAATAACAATTTCAAAGACCCTTTAAGGGTTATCAATGCTATAATTTTGCCACAGTTTCATATCCGTTTGCTTGTGTGAGGCCATTAATTCACTGTTAACACTTTACAAAGTACATCCAGACAAGGACCTTTGATCAACTAGGCATTACATAATCAACAATACATATTTTGGGGGGTTTGGTTGGAACTGAATAAATATGATTTTCATTGAAAAATAGAGATTGGCTAATGAATGGCCTGGGACTTGTATGTAAATTTTCCCAATTTCCTCTGCAGGACTATAGTGGTTTGTGTATGGGCTGCAGAAGCTTCAGAAATATTTAGTGCTAACTGAATAGCGGCAAAGGTCAGCATTCAGACTTACATCACTTCCTGTGCACAATTTTGAAAAACAGCACAAAGACAAGCTTTTAAAGTGATGTGACATCACCGAATATGTATAACAATGAATAAGTATTGCACAAATGACACAAAAGGGATGAAATAATGCTGGAAATTCTGTCACTCAGCAGAAGAATGCAGCATTCTTTCATGTCTTCAGATTTAATATGACATCAGTTCTGTTTATGTTTTACTTTATATTACGTTTTCTAATTTCATAGGAAATAAATGTGCACTGAACACAAACTTTAGTGAACAGTACTCTAAGATTTGAATTTAAATACTCTCAGAAAAAAAATAAATAAATAAAAAACTCACCATGGTACTATCCCTTTGAAAAGGTACACATTTGTACACTGCAAATAGCGATTATTTGACTTTACTTGAAAAAAGAGGGTAAACTTGTTACCTTAAAATTGTTAAGTAAACAAACTGTGTGCATAATTCTAAAAGTGAAGTCTTTTTAAGCAAAAGCAACTTATTGCTTTTAGGGCAACAGGTTTTTTTTTTTTAAGTAATCACTTTTTACAGTGTACAGAAAGGGTCCATATTTGTACCTCAAATGTACAGTTTAGACCTTAAAACATACACTGTAAAACCCAACAGTAAATTTTATCAAATGGAATAAGTGTAGTTAACTCAAAATTTACTGAAAGTTAATTCTACTCATTTGAAAAGAGTTTTGAACTCAGTGTTGAAGGTAATAATTTAATTAAATACATCATCACTTCAACTTAAATGGTGCAAGTTCACAGTGCTCATATAGATTTTTTTTTAACTCAAATGGTTTGTAGCAATACACAATGTCACAGTACTCAGTTGGTCTGAGTTCTCTTCATTTATTGGGTTTTACTTCGTTCAAATAGCTTCATTTACTCAAATGGACTACATTACTCATTAGGATTAGTGTTTGAACTTAAATGGTTTGTTGCAATCGGTTTCCTCAAATGGTTTGAATTACAATAACTTTGGGTTTTACAATGTACGTAAGTGCACCTCTTGACATTTATGAATAAATGAAAGTGGCCGTTAATGTTTATTTTAAAGTTTCTTTTGCATGTAGTTCCCCCCTCTTCTTTGTTATGAATGAATCAATCCAAAAGTCCCAGTAAAACAATAAATAAATTCTACAGTGCAACGAATTCACAGCGCCATCCAGCGATCATTACTATGAATTGAACCCTACAGGCAGCATTTTCATGAATGGAAATATTTACTCTAAATTATTCTTTAACTTCTCAGAAAATCCTGCGAGTTCAGCAATTCACATAACAGGCACAATACGTTAAAAACCAAACAAGTTTAAATCTATATACGTATGTGCGTAAAAAGTGTCAAAAGCTTAAAGTTTAAACTTGCGGCTTACAAAAGGCGGCACTAATTTTGTTCACAAATTATTTTCATTTTTTTATTTATGAAAATGTAGATAAATATAGATTCAATAAAATTTGTAGTTTTAGCAAGATTTTGTGGGATTTAATTGTATGTAGGTTATGCAACTGTCCGGTGATTGCAAAAGAAAAAAGTTAATAAATCAAATTAAACATAAAACAAAAATAAGAAAATTATAGAAAAAAATAGAAAAAAAGAAAAGGCTAATAACTTGATATGACTTTATAATAAAAAACATATTTAATACGAGTTCGTCATAACTTATTTTATTAGCAATTGTTTTTACGTATTTCGGTACTTTTCATTTAAATTGAAATCCCCGTATCTTTAGAAAATGTTTGTTATAAATGTTTTTGTAGATTTTTAAATTAACATTTAAATATGGACAAACAACGAGTTTTAACTAAAGTTCTTAACATCCTTATGAATATAGAGAAGAAATACGCTAATTAATGCATTTTTTTATCAGACGCAGTATAAGAAAAGTTTAATGCATGCATGCATGTAAGGCACAAGTTTAAACATTGGTTATTTTGTGAGATGCATGACAGATGCATCATAATGAAGCATTTATAGACTAAAATTGTCTAATTTATTGCGTCTTGGCCGTCTGTTGGATGTCCAGCGGGGTGTGTAACTTTCTTCTCAGAACTGCCAAAGGGGGGAAAAAAGCTTATCGATTGATCTGATAAGAGGACAATTTAAAGGCCAGTCGCAGAGCTTTGCGCCAAAACAGAGCAATACACAGGAGATAGTGTGTGTGCATGCTTCCTATCAGAACAAGACGGTCTTTAATTACTGCAGATAATACTTAATAATGCTCCTCTTACTCTTTGTCACTGTTTGTGGAAGTATCGGCGTGGAGAGCCTCCCGTTGCCCGACTCTGGTCCACATTTGGCAAATGACTGGAGTGAAGCCGTCCGGCTACGACATCTGTACGCAGCCAGACATGGCTTACATCTGCAAATAAACACAGACGGAGAAATCAGTGGATCACACATGCAAAGCTCGGACAGTAAGTGACCGCAGCTCAAAATCACTGTCATAGTTAACTCAGCACTTTAAGTATATGAGCCAGGCAGGAAGGATGTCCAAGATGAAAAAGACTTGAACTATTTTTTAAAGCACAATTTTATAGTAGTCGATTTCTTAAAAGTTTATTCATGTTGTCTTTACAAAAATGCGTAAAAATGTCAAGTGGTGCAACCGTCAATAAAAAAAAAATAACAATAATAATAATACAAAAAAACACGTGGGTGTAGCCTGAACGTCTTAAAAATATTGTTTATAAAACGTGTTTTCCCATGTACATATATAGATTATTGCATTTACATTAGGCTAAATTGTCGGTAAATTGTTAGTGACCTATAACACGCGTGGAATAGATATCATTATAGAGCGTAATTGAGTCAAACTTATGTACTTTTTGTTGAATGCAATGCTCAGCAAATGAGCACACCCCATTTTGAAAACGAATATTTTTATCCATTTCTCAGTGAATATAGGTCATATATTTGGGTGCATTTGAACAAAACAGATTTATTAAACGGATATATGTATTATAATAATATTTTAGTCACCGAACGTCTTCAAAAATAGAATAATAATACATTTAAAACATATCCCTGAAAATACTACGTAAATTTCAAAAAAAGCTTTGATAAAAAAAAAGGTAAAATATTTTTCCCTAACATATAGCCTACATTTGGGCTACTAATTTTTGGGCCGGTATCATAAGTTTTTTTTGTTTTTTTTTTTGTTTTTTTAGATTAGCTCTAGATTTGGCTTCAGTACTGACTAAACTTATGTATATGCACAAAGATAATACGATAAAGCATCCTATAGAAAATCTTAATTTAAATGAGAGATTTGTGAGAGGTGTGCTTATATATGCCTAAAGATTTATCATATTTATGAAGCATAAGATGTTCCCAAACATTGTTTTAATTGATTTTTATCCATAGTTACAGACATTTTGACTTGAACAAATTTATCAAAAACAATGAAAATTTTGGTCAGAGAAAAAGTAACTCGAATCATTAATTTTTTGTTACGTATTATTTTTACAACACAAACACTCACGTCTTGCCGTTACCTCACAAGTCATTGATGTTCTTCTGCAAAACGCATATGCATTTTCTAGTTTAATGCAAATAAATATTTTAGGAATTTGCACATGTAACCTAAACGAGCATTAGGATCACTCTATCCACGTTAAATCTGCCGCCAAACAGTGTGTAAAATTCGTTTCTAGCTTTCATCATTTCATACATTATTACATTCTATAATATCTTTTTTTTTCCTCTAAAGGTTTGATGGAGATATGGCCGGTGGACACAGGCTGCGTAGCCATTAAGGGAGTTGCAAGCTCCCGATTTCTTTGCATGGAAAGACTGGGAAACCTGTACGGATCGGTAGGTTTGACAAACAGATGTAACTTAAAAAATCTGCATATATGCAAATTTAGGAAAAGTTTTTGATATGCAAGCGATCATGATCAGAGCCCATAATAGATACGCCAATATCAATTGTTTTAAGAGGTCAAAACCCAGCCAAAACCTAGACTATTTCAAAAACAGATGGAAGCAACCATTGATTGAACCGACAGAGGTCAAGTACATAAGGTTATGTATTTGAAATACATTTTTAGAAAAGTGACGTACAATAATTTTATTCTTAGAGAGTGGAACTTCGGCTCCCAGCCATCAATAATAATAAAACTACACACATTCGCCAGAGATAACCTTGTTGTGCTAAGGTCACCAGCAACGTCCTTTATGACTGAGGAAGTGTAGACAAGCCGATTTCGCCACAGACATCCAAGCTTTATTGACATTATGTTCTGGTCACGGGTTCATTCCTCCCATCTGACGTTAGAACATTATTTTAGGGTTAGACCAATCACGGAGAACGCAGTCATCATGAATATAACTCTAAAAACGAATATCGGTATTTGGTAAACATCCTTCAAAACTGTCCATCTCTGGATACAAAAGGGAAAATTGTAAAATGTGCGAAAAGATAAAACCCAGCAAAATAAATAAATAAATAAAGTGTTTAACAGACAGCTTGGCTTAAAAAGGCTAAACTAGTCAGTGAAAATCTAAGATTAGCCCAAAACTAATAGTCATCAGATAGACAAACGTTATATGTGCGGTCATTAATTTCTGCATATTTGATGACTAGTCTAGTTTTTGCCTATTCTTATACGTCTATTAGATTTTCACTGACAGTCCAAATTTAGTCTTGTTTTAGCCAAGACGACAACATTTAGACATCTATTAGACATCTATTAGACATCTTTTAAAAACAATAAATGCTTGCTTGGAAAGATTGCAAATTATGAATGACTGCAAATGACTTGGGTGCTTGATGGCACAGTTAATGCGATTGACCAGAACACACAAGAAATATTTCCCCCCAAAATTCTGCTGATTTGAATGGTGTCATAGCAGCAACCTTTGCCCATGGTGGGGTATGTTTGCATAGCTAAAACCTCATTGAAAAGAAACAGCAATAACAACCTTGGCCTCTTCATGTGGTGTGCAAACAGCTATCAAAAAAAAAAAACGTAAAACACATGCAGGGCAGGGCAGGTCGATGAGACATTCATATATTGTGATTTAATACGTGTTTTCTTTCGCTTTGCAGCACATTTACACTAAAGAGGACTGCTCTTTTTTGGAACGCATCCTTCCAGACGGCTACAACGTCTACTTCTCGAGCAAACACGGAGCTCTTGTGACTTTAAGTGGTGCGAAAAACAAGTTGCACAGTAACGATGGGACTTCTGCATCCCAGTTCCTCCCCATGATCAACACACTTTCAGAGGAACACACTAAACAGCACTCAGGGGAACAGCACTCTTCTGTTAACCATGGACAGGACCATCAGTTGGGCCTTGAAATAGACAGTATGGACCCTTTCGGAAAGATCTCTCAAATAGTGATCCAGAGTCCCAGCTTCAACAAAAGATGAGAAGTGATTGATCTCTTGTGGATGTTCATCGAAAACGACCTGAGGTCGAGAAATAGAAGACTGTAGAAAATCAGTCCTGCCACGATGGTCAGGGCAAGACTTTCTGAAAGAAAAAATGCTAGAAGGTCCAGTACAAACAAACTGCACACTAGACAAATGTAATGTAGACTGCAAATGCAAAGCAAAATCACTCCATATGGTGAAGCTTATGGCGCATCACCTGCTGCTTGAAGTTATTTATTTGTCACTGTTTGTTAAGGAACATGCTCTCTATACATTTAAAAACTTATATTATAGTCAATATAGTGTTTACTGTGCCTTTCTGTATTTTGTTTTCTATAAGTGAATGTTATTTGGACATTTCTACAGTGGTTATAAGTAGAGATATATTACAAATCTTAATATACTGTAAAAGTAGTGAACATTTGAAGGGAATTAAAACTTAAGCTATTAAAAAATACCCATTCTTTCTTAGTACAACATAGATATTTTTGATCCACTTCAAATATTGATGACTGTATATATCACATATACCAGCGGTTCATTCCGCTGTGGCGACCCCGGATTAATAAATGGACTAAGCTGACAAGAAAATGAATGAATCACATATACCTTTCCTGTAAATTCTGTCAGTTCATAGTTTATAAAACAGTCCACATGACTACTTTAATCCTTCATATGTGATTATTTTTCTAATTTACTGAAAGAAATATGTCTGCAAAATTGTTGCAAACAATTAGTTGAATTTAAACAAACTAATAAAATTTATTGATGTTCAACTTAATTGGTTCGTTTAAATTCAGCCCGAATAAATTGTTTACAACCACTTAGCTTAAAACAATTTTGTAAATCCAAGGAATCACATTTGAATCACTTTTTTCCAGTGTTTCACACTGGAAAGAAGCTTTCATTCATCCAATCAAAATATGTAGAATAATGGTTCACAACTACACTCCCAGTCAAAAGTTTGGTACGATTTTTAAATGTTTTAAATTAAGCTTATCCTGATCACCAAGGCTGCATTTATTTAATAAAAAATACAGTACAAATTGATCAATTCATTCATTTTATTTTCGGCTTAGTCCCTTTATTAATTTGGGGTCGCCACAGCGGAATGAACTGTTAACTTATTCAGCATATGTTTTACAGCTGCAACCTAGTACAGGAAAACATCCATGCACACTCATTCACACACATACACTACAGCTTACCCAATTTACCTATACCACATGTCTTTGGACTTGTGGGGAAAGCCGGAGCACCCGGAGGAAACCCACATGAACACGGGGAGAACATGCAAACTCCACACAGAAATGCCAACTGACCCAGCTGAGGCTCGAACCAGTGACCTTCTTGCTGTAGGGCGAACATTCCCACTGCACCACCGTGCAGCCAACGGTAAAATTGTGAAAGTGAAATGTTACTGCACTATAAAATAACTGTTCAAAAGTTTACAGTTTAATTTAATCATTTATTCCAGTGATTTTAAAGATGAATTTTCAGTTTCATTTCTCCAGTCTTCAGTTACATGATCCTTCACAAATTACTCTAATATTAATTATTATTATTTCTTCTAGTCGGCTTAGTCCCTTTATTAATCCGGGGTTGCCACAGTGGAATGAACCACCAACTTATCCAGCAAGTTCTTACGCAGCGGATGCCCTTCCAGCCGCAACCCATCTCTGGGAAACATCCACATACATATTCACACACACACTCATACACTACGGACAATTTAGCCTACCCAATTCACCTGTACCACATGTCTTTGGACTGTGGGGGAAACCGGAGCACCCGGAGGAAACCCACGCGAAGGCAGGGAGAACAACTCCACACAGAAACACCAACTGAGCCAAGGTTCGAACCAACAACTCAGCTACCTTCTTGCTGTTAGGCAACAGCACTAACTACTGCGCCACTGCCTCGCCAAATTATTATTATTATTATTATTAATTATAATAATAATAATAATAATAATAAAAGCAATAAGGACTGAAGTAACAATTTCATTTGAAACTACATGCAATAAGAAAGCAGTTGTTAAATTTTCAATAAATATTTACTTTTTTTTTACATTTAATAAATGCTGCCTTGATGAACAGGATAATTTTCTTTAAAAAACATGAAGAAATTTTTTTTTTTAAATGTACCCAAACTTTTGAACCGTAGTGTAAATTTTATTATTTGACCCAATGAAAAATAAATAATTTGCCTTTATTTTCTATCTCCACGAGAACAATTTTATACAACCCGATACAAAGCATATTTTGTCTTGTTGAAGGAATTCAATTAATTTCAATTTAAAGAAGATATAGCTTTAATCAAACAACAATTGCCATAAAATGTTCATTCATCCAATTAAAAAAAAATTAAGGTAATGGTTTCACATCTAAATCTGATCACGTTAGGCGATGAAAAATAAACCATTTGTCTTAAACAACATTTATTTGTTCCTGAAAGTACAAAGCATATTGAGTTTCTGTTTAATATGCATGCACTGGCCAGTGAGTAACCTTTAAATTTTATATTGGTCAAAACAATTTTTGTAATCAAAAACATTTATATTAACTAACACTGTAAAACATGCTGAGTTGCTGGGTTCTACACAATTAATTTGTGTTGGGACAACATGAAGGAATCAAACTTAGTAGATTTTACTAATTTAAGTGGGTTGAGCATAAAACAATTAAGTTGTCCCAAAAAAGCCTTAATGATAATGTGGTTTAAGCTCATATTAAATAAGTAGTTTGAACAAACAGCAAACATCATTTTTGAATGTATGTTTTGAACTTAAAATATATTACTTAAAAAATAAAACAAATATTATTAAACTGAAAGGATAAAAAAAATATTTTTTAATTGGATGAAGTACTGCTTGATGTTTTTCAGTCTGGGCAAATGTTTGATTATGAATGTTAAAATATAGATCCAATATAAAAACTAATGGTTTAGAGGCCCAAAATAAAATATTGGCATGTAAGATTGCAGTCATTACTAATATAAACAATGCATTTTTGTGACACCATGAAAAAAATGCTTGAAATAACAGACTTTCTAAATTGTCTGTATATATTCTAATACTTCAAAGCCATTTATAAGAAGGGGTAAAATATACTTCTTTCCCTTTAAAACCTATGCTTATGTCCTAAATGTGTTTTTTTGTAATGCTTGTGAGATTTCTGTCCTTGCCAGATGCCCTTGAATAACACACAGCTTGCAATATTAACAGGAATGTTTTTGTAGCATTGTGGCTCCCTCTACTGGTAATTCACTTGCATTTTTTACATACTGATGTTAAATGGAATTAAAATGACAACTCACTCATCTTTTATAGGAGGAGGTCAGGCTACACGAGAAACAGTTTTCAGAGTAATACTTGTTACAAATCTGCAACGGTGTAAAATCTTCTCATTGTATCTCTCCGCAATATGCTGTATTGACAGCTAATATTGATGGTTCTCACTGTAGTGCGTTCTGCATGCAGAATGGTACAAGTACACATTAATTAAATAGTTATTTATTTATTTATTTTTCTAATGTTACAATACTGTTTTACAATACTTTTTAGTTTTTAATGTAATGATTTAACAGATTTAACAGGAAAATATACATATTTGGGTCAAAGACAAGATGAATAATAAATCACTAACTTATCCGGCATAAGTTTTACACAGCGGATGCCCTTCCAGCCACAACCCAGTACTGGGAAACACCCATACTCTTTTGCACTCACACACGTACACTATGGCCAGTTTTAGCTTACCCACTCGACATGAAACTGGAGCACCTGGAGGAAACCTACACCAATACGGGGAGAACATACAAACTCCACACAGAAATGCCAACTGACTTAGCCAGGACTCAAACCAGCGAACTTCTTGCTTTGTGACGACAATGCCAACCACCGAGCCACCCATACTTTTTATTTCTAAATTTAGTCAAATTTGAAATTATTTGAAAAAACTTACTGACAGTAAGTTTAATGAGCAAAACTGTATGTATTTTAAAGAATAGTAACAAATTATAAAGATTTAATATAACAGTTTTTGAGCTTTGAGTGATCTGTCTACACAGTGCCCAAACTTTTTCCTATAAAGGGCCAAAAAGCAAACTTGATTGAGGGCTGTGGGACAAATATATACAGTTGAAGTCAGAATTATTAGCACCCCTGAATTATTAGCCCCCAGTTTTTTTTTCCCCCAATTTCTGTTTAACGGAGAGAAGATTTTTTTTTCAACACAATTCTAAATAAAATTGTTTTAGTAACTCATTTCTAATAATTGATTATCCTGCCATGATGACAGAAAATAATATTTTACTAGATATGTTTCAAGACTTCAATACAGCTTAACGTGACATTTAAAGGCTTAACTAGGTAAATTAGGTTAACTAGGCAGGTTAGGGTAATTAGGGAAGTCATTGTATAACGATGATTTGTTCTGTAGAATAATGAAAAAAATAGCTAAAAGGGGCTAATAATTTTGACATAAAAATGTTTTTTTTTATTATTAAACACTGTTTTTATTCTAGCTGAAATAAAACAAATAAGACTTTCTCCAGAAGAAAAAATATTATCAGACATACTGTGAAAATTTCCTTGCTCTGTTAAACATCATTTGGGAAATATTTGAAAAAGAAAAAACATTCAAAGGGGGGCTAATAATTCAACTGGATACTAAAGCGTATACATTAAATTTGCCATGGGTAATTTTCTAATTTATTTAATGTTTAATAAAAACTAGAAAATGTTACTTTAAATCAAATTAACTACTCTAGTTTAATTTTAAGATGTTATAATGAACTTATTACAGTAAAATCATAAACAATCCCATTTATAACATAATGGAGTTCAATACTGAATACACTGCTCAGAGCTGCTCCTGCCTTTACCTTTATTTACCTACCTCTATCTGTCGAGTGACAGTATTTACATTTTAGAAGTCTGATTTATTTAAAACATTTAATTGAATCATTTACTTTCCGTTGACTGTTTTTTTTTTTTTTTTTTTTTTGTATCTCAGCAATAAAAAAATAAAATTAAAAAAAACAACCACCTTGTCATCGTTCTCCCTCACTTCTCAGATGGCATAAGGCTGATATGTGATAGTGTGCCAAATCAAAGGTTACCATGGGCCAACTTTGGGCATCTCTGGTCTAAACACTTCATCAAATGTTTATTGATCTAAATATGACTGACAAGTTCTTGTTATATGAACTACGGTTATACTGAAGGACATTTTATTAAATAAATACATTCTGTAAATAATGCCATATAAATTACAGTAATGTGTTTGGTCAGAAAACAAAAACAAAAAACAAGACATTATCATACTCCTCAATTCACTGTCGAAATTAGATATTAGGCTTACATTTAGGTGAAATATACTAATACATCTTATATTATTGATTGTTTTAGACATTTTAATGTATACTTATTGTAGTTATTGAGTTTTTAACGATATTATTATTATGGTCGAAGTAGTAATGTTTTATTAGTGTAGGACCGCATGTAAACGTGCTAGCATGCTAGCATATCTCCAAAATAAGCCTTCGTTTGAAAACACGAACAGTATATTCCATGAAAAGACAAAATAGCGATATATTCACAATAAAAATTGTGAGAATAAGTAAATGATAGCTTACCGTATTTGACACCTGAAAATACGTATTTGGTCTTCACTCTTCAGTGCAGATCTAAAAATGCAAACCGGTAAATCTTTAAATATTATTGTTACCGACTGACGTCTTTCTTTCAGTACAAACAACCGGATATCCAACTTATTTCAAGATCTGATCAGAAATACACACAGTTAGTGATGCAAACCTTTAGCTTTCCTTCCAGTAGACGGCGCGTTGGTTCAGTCCCATCGGTGTTAACATTCGGCTAGGACCGAAGAAGAACGATTCCGGAAGACCACCCGTAAACTCTTCTGATCAGGAAAGCAAGCTATTTTAATGTAAAAATGGCATTTGAGCCCAATAATGATGATTTGTTTGACTCCATCATCATGGCCGATGACAGGTAACGTTAACTAAAGTCACGCACAAACTGTTGCGTCACGAAGTTAGTGTTCATCAATGTAGTCCAGTGTGTAAGTGTGTGTTTAAGTTAGTTCAGTGTCCTTAGCTGTTATTAATTTACATTTAGGCTCATAAATATGCTTTTCTCTTTTAGGTTTCATGTTGAAGGTTATCAGGAGGGCTTTGACGAGGGAGTTCGACAGGGGACCATCGAGGGTAGAAATCACGGGCGGCTGCATGGAGCCAAACTCAGTGCAGAGGTGAAATACACATAATGTCAGATTCACTTGGTTTGGATTAAAGGAATATCACCATTTGTTTTCCTACATGGACGTAATCAATACATTCCTTTCGTGTATTTTAGTAGGTAAAGCTATTGCATTAAGTTCATTGTACTGAATAAGTTCTGAATAATGCTGTAGCCTTCTGGAAAAGCAGTGCCAGGGGGTTTGCTGTTGTGTTTTCACAATGACTTTGTGTGATTTACAATGAGACAACACAAGCATTGTCCAAGCATTGTACAATCTTAATTAATCAGTTCAACATATCTTGAAAAGCATTATTAGTAAAGGGACAGTTCACCCAAAATGGAACAAACAGAAGATACTTTGATGAAAGCTGAAAACATAACCATTGACCTCCATGGTATTCGTTTTTCGTACTATGGAAGTCAATGGTTAAAGGTGTTAGACCACAGTCTCCACGCCAGATAAATACGATCCAGTCCTGGATGCTTGATCTTGTCAGGAAATGTCAGTTTCTCCAGGTATTTGGACAACAAGTCAGCAGAGCAATACCCAAACTGTTAACCAATATTCAACTGAATTAACAGTCTACTATCAATATAGGAGGAAGCAAGAGAAGAGCAGATGCAGGAGACGAAGTGATGATAATAAAAAGCTGCATGTGTTTCAGTGCATGCTCATACTTCGTCTGACCAGGATAAGTCCAGTGTTATTATACCACAAGCAACAGCAATGGAAAATTACTTCACAACATTGTCCATAGACAATACAGACCTTGAAATGGAGACTTTCTCTCATCTCTTACTTATTGTCGGCTGCACATCCATGATGCGAATTTCCCCTTTAACCATATCACAAAGGTGCTCTATTGGATTGAGATCTGGTCACTGTGGAGGCTATTTTAGTACAGTGAACTCATTGTCATGTTCAAGAAACCAGTCTGAGATGATGGCACCCGCTGTGGTCTTCTGCTGCTGTAGCACATCTGCCTCAAGGTTTGATGTGTTGTGCATTCAGAGATGCTCTTCTGCATACCTCATTTGTAACGAGCGGTTATTTGAGTTACTGTTACCTTTCTATCTAGCCATTCTCCTCTGACCTCTGGCATCAACAAGGCATTGGCACCCACAGAAGTGCCTCACACTGGATTTTTTATTTATTTTTCTTTTCGGACCATTCTCAGTAATCCCTAGAGATGGTTGTGCGGGAAAATCTCAGTAGATCAGCAGTTTCTGAAATACTCAGTCAAGCCCATCTGGCACCAACAACCATGCCACATTCAAAGTCACTTAAATCCTTTTTCTTCCTCATTCTGATGCTCGGTTTGAACTGCAGCACATTGTCTTGACCATGTCTACATGCCTAAATGCATTGAGTCGCTGCCATGCGATGGACTGATTAGAAATTTGAATTAAGGAGCAGTTGAACAGGTGTACCTAATAAAGTGGCTGGAGATAGAGTGTGTGTGTGTGTGTGTGTGTGTGTGTGTGTGTGTGTGTGTGTGTGTGTGTGTGTGTGTGTGTGTGTGTGTGTGTGTGTGTGTGTGTGTGTGTGTGTGTATAAAATTAGGGAAGCACGGTATTGGAAAAATTACACATTGCAATTTTTGTTTTTATTCTGTGATTATATATTTCCATATGGCTACAATTTTACCACATAAGCTGAATAAATGTTTGCGATGTGTGTTATTTAGGGATGCTTCTGAAGGGGAGTTCATAGAATATAATAAACAATCTACAAGCATAGACAAATTAATTCATAAAAAAAATGTGCTAAGTAAATACATTTTAGCGTTTTATTGTAATCGAAATGTATATTATTCATTCATTTCCCTTTGGCTTAGTCTCTTTTTTTTAATCAGGGGTCACCACAGCAGACTGAATCGCCAATTTATCCTGCATAAGTTTTACGCAGCGGATGCCCTTCCAGCCGCAACTCAGAACTGGAAAACATCCATACACTCTTGCATTCACATACATACATGGCCAATTTTAGCTCACCCACTTGAGATTTAGCACATGAAACTGGAGCATCTGGAGGAAACCCACACCAATACAGGGAGAACATGCAAACTCTACACAGAAACGACAACTGACAAACCAGCGACCTTCTTGCTTTGAGGCGACAGCACTACCTATTGTGCCACCGTGTCGCCAAATCTATTATAATCAAGTGTAAAATAACACTGCATAGTCTAAGTTCTATAAACAATTGCATAAAATTAATCATTATTCATTTTTCAGTGTTACAAACGGCACATTTTCTTATACCTGAACGTTTTTAAAACCCTCACACAGTCATATGTCATTCTGGCATTATATAACGAGTGGCATAAAATGTTCTTAAACTGACAATAATATCATTTATCACAATATATTTTGTTGCAGTTTATCGTAAAACAAAAAAAAAATTTTAAGAGGCCTAGATATGTACTAAGCCGTTTAAAATTTCTTGAAACAATTTGTTATTAAAGGGATGGTTAATATTATTGTCTTTATGAATGGTATTGACATAGTGAGCTACTGAAACTATGTATAGATAAATGCATGCAAAACATGACCTTCTTTTCACCTGTTTTTCAGGTTTCATTTTACTATGGATTTGCACTCGCATGGAAATGTCTCCTTCAAAGTAGCACTGATGTTAAAGCAAGGTATGTTCTTTAACATACAAATGCTTCACATATTTGTCAGCTGCTGAAAGTCAGGTTGTTTTTTTCACCATCTGCTTTATTCGGGGTGCAAACTTGTCACTTTTCAGCAAATTAAGCTGTTGTCGTGTTAAAAAAGATTGTTGACGTAAATCATTTAGATCTGTAAAAATAAATAAGTCGGTGGGTGGTGGGTCTAATCGCAAAAGCTGTGATATGAATTCAATATAATTGCATCAACTAGCATTGTCAGTTTTAATTGTCATTGAGTTAAATCATGATTAATTTCAACTTAATCAGATTTATCTGTTGTAAATGTATCTTAAATGAATATAATGTTACAACATTAGTAACTTTTAAAGACCCTATATAAAATAAAATGATAATACTAATTATTAATATTCTAGAAAAAGACTGAAAGCGATGGAATCTTTAATCGGAGTGATCCAAAACTTCCCATATGAAGACCCTCAGTATGAGAAGCTTCAAGAGGACATGGAAAGAGTACGCGCAAAGTTTAGACAGGTAATGCTTTCAGCCGTGTCCTGTAGCTTTAACTGTTATAACACAAGCCAATGGTTTTTAATTGGTTCATTTTAGCAGTGGTCATTTAAACAACATTAACAAGTATTATTTTCACAGGTGTGCTCTTTACTGAACGTGTCGACAGACTTTCGAGAATATCTGAGCGGATCGACATCAATGTCCTTCTGAGACTACCAGAAGCTTACAGCAGCAGTTATGGCAAACTCAGAGCACCTCCGAGAGGCCATTTATAGGCGGACCGTGCTGACCATCATCTGCAAAGAGCCAGTGGTGATGCGAGCATTTTTGAGGTGATCATGTGTAAAAGAGTAGACCGGTTTCACTCTTACTGGTAAGGTGGAATTGTGCAAACCAAACTCTGGAACTGAACTCTAGAAAACACTGAGTGAAATGGTTTGAGTTGTATTTTTAAGAGTTTTAATGAGGGGAAAAATTAAGCAAACGAGTCAGTCTAATATACAAACCAAAGTTTTGCTCTTCATAAGAACTTTCCATATCCTAATAAGGTACTCTTCCCTTGGGTGGAATGACCTTAATTTGCAAACAATAGCTTTGATAGATAAAGGTGTTCATGAAGACTATAAACACCATCTTGTGGTGGAATTGGAGATTGACTCTTGTTGTTAGGTGGCTCCGCCTGCTGGTGAGCTGAAATTACTGCAGGAGTGTGATATTTGTAGAAGAACTACTAGTGTAATGGAGATGAGAAGCTTTTCGTTGAAATCGCTCTGGAAGTTTTGACGATTATAATTTAATATATGTTGATATTAAAGGCATTTCTTAACAAAATAAATGATTTACAGTCATTAATTTGATGAATACATGTGCTAATTCTGGATATTATTGTTTTATATTAATGTTAATAACTGCTTTTTCAACATACTGTTGTTACTAATACTTGTAGAAGTTACATGTGGTTGGTCTTTTATTAGTTCAAGATGTTATTGGATGTATTTTAATGGGACAGTTCAACCAAAATGTGAAAATGTGAAATACACTTCTCACAACCCTGTTTTAGTTTCTTTTTAACACATAAGAAGTTATTTTGAAAAATGTTGGAAGACTGTGTAACCATTGTCTATTATTTGTTTTTCAAACTATGAAGGTCAATGGTTACAGATTTTTATTATTTTTCAAAGTATCTTGTTTTGTGTTCAACAGAAAAAGGAAACCATAAGGGTATAAAAACCTTGAGCGTTAGTGAAATGTAATTTCAGATGAACTTTTCCTTTAACATCATGTAGTATTAGTTTAGTCTAAAATGAAAATTCTCCCTTCACCCCTTTGAGTTTCAAACCTATAATACTTTTATTCATTTTTAGAGCACAAAGCAGATATTTTTAATCATGCTAGAGAGATTTATTTTCTACAAGTGACACTCTGCTTACCCAAAACTATAATTCATTCATACATTAATTTTCTTGTCGGCTTAGTCCTTTTATTAATCCGGGGTCGCCACAGCGGAATGAACCGCCAACTTATCCAGCAAGTTTTTACGCAGCGGATGCCCTTCCAGCCGCAACCCATCTCTGGGAAACATCCACACACATTCACACACACACACACACACACACTAAGGACAATTTAGCCTAACCAATTCACCTGTACCGCATGTCTTTCGACTGTGGGGGAAACCGGAGCACCCGGAGGAAATCCACGCGAAGGCAGGGAGAACATGCAAACTCTATACAGAAACGCCAACTGAGCCGAGGTTCGAACCAGCGACCTTCTTGCTGTGAGGCGTCAGCACTACCTACTGCTCCACTGCTTCGCCCCCCAAAACTAATGAGGTTTCCAAAGAGATTCATTATAATTAACCACTTTGGAATTTTTACATTTCCATCTGCTTTCTAAGCGGTTTTGAGATATTGAGTTTACGTCACTTAATGCAAAAATTACATGGGGATCTTTCATTCATTTACCTTCGGCTTAGTCTCTTTATTTATTATGGGTCGTCAAAGTGGAATGAACAACAACTTATGCAGCATATGTTTTACACAGTGGCTGCCTTTCCAGCTGCAACCCAGTACTGGGAAACACCCATACACTGTCACATGCACACTTATACACTACGGCCAATTTAGTTTATTCAATTCACCTGTACTGCATGTCTTTGGACTGTGGTGGAAACCGGATCACCCGGAGGAAACCCACGACAACATGGGGAGAACATGCAAACTCCATACAGAAATGCCAAATGACCCAGCCAGGACTCAAACCAGCAACCTTTTTCCTGTGAGGTGACAGTGCTAACCACTGTGCAACCGTGCCACCTATGTTTTTAAAACATTTTTTACATTTTTTTTATTTTTAAGAAAGGTTATGTTGAAAAAAAATTAGGTATACAACTAGAGCTTGCTTGTTTTGACAAAATACTTAAATATTCTGCACAAATATTTGCATTTTAATTATTAAGTTATTATTATTGTATTATTAAATTAATTAATTAAATTATTTAAAAATTTTGATAGGACATAAATCTTTTTCAACTGGGTCATTCAAATTTAGCCCTGTGTAAGTCAACAATTGCATTCATAATTGTCTTTAAAATCCTTAAAGTTAACTTGCAGAAAACTTGCAGAAAAATCCATCAATTGAATCTGCAGAAACCCTTTCGAATAAATGTGTTGTCACAGAATGTGTATGAATAATTATTGTTTAATAATATATATTGTTGTTAATATATATATATATATATATATATATATATATATATATATATATATATATATATATATATATATAGCTATGTACAATGAACAGTTTTTATCTTTTTTAATAGAATGTGTATTTTGAAATGACAATAGAGAACATTTTCTTCGGGAAACATTTAAAAAGGCATCTTCTGGAGAAATTTTATAATATTTGTCATTAATCCAGCTAGAAGATTGTATATGGCTTTCTTCAGTTTTGTTGTTATTCTCTTTTACAACATTTATTAAGAAACAGATAAAATTGCATGTTATATATTGTATGTTTAGTAGGGCTGCACAATATATTGTTTCAGCACTGATATCTCAATGTGTGCATCTGCAGAAGTCAGATTGCAAGATTTGCAAGGTTGAGTCTGGATTATAGTTGAACAAGAGCTAAAGAATTGTATTTAAGTACTCTTTATTTTTAATACGGATTTTTATGATTTATGTTTTACTAAAGTTTATATATATATATATATATATATATATATATATATATATATATATATATATATATATTAGTCCAAATATCTACATTTTAAAGCAAAAACAATATTTTTTTACTCCACTGGCAGATAATTTTGCTTGTTTTATGAAAAACTTATAATTTTGCCTCTTATTTTCCTGCCTCTAAACGCTTATTTCTTCTGAAGTTGAAAATAAAACAATATTTTACTTAATCTAAGAATTTTTGGATGTTTTGACAAGAAATGAGACAAAGTAAGAAAAGTGTTGTTTGCATTGTGATCATTCAATTGCTGTACCTGAATACTGACTCTCCAAAAACCTGCATAAAGCTATTCAAAGCATTTTGTGAAATTGCATTGCAATACTTAACGCTGAAAAACGAAATTACAATATCAGATTTTTCCAATATCATGTTGCCCTAATATGTAGTATAGTTTTAACTTGAATATAGCCAATGTTGCTGATTTGTCATTAAAACATAAAGGAAAAACAATAATTAAACAATAGCTGTGTTTCCATCCCAAAGTTATGAATCCTAAGACATTCCTCTGCTAGCTCTTCAGTGCCATTTCACGGGTGGTCAGCAGAGTCTCCTGACAGATAGATAGTTTTCCTCCCCTCGGGCCCTGAATGGGCGACAGTTGCTGTGGCCGCAACAATGCTGCAGTGAGGCCCGTGCGAGAGGCCAGGGGGCTGCGCGACGCACTCTGCTTTTTTGTTCTGCGCCCCCTCACACTTGAAGAGTCCGAGGTGCAGATCAGAATTCAGGCGGACAGCAGTTGGCAGCGTATTAGAAGGTGTTTCTGGAGATGCCAGCTGGTCTACGCGGTGGGCAGCAGCAGGTAAACACTAAGCCCCGTTGGCGGCACCTTCTGAGCCCTGACAGATAAAACCCTGCTCTTCCCTGAAGACCTCCAGTCAGCCGCTGCAAGGCCCTGCCCCTACATCACTCATTATGAGCTGCTGCTGGAGTCATACAATTCAGTTCAAGTTTATTTGTATCGCACATTTCATATACAATGGTAATTCAAAGTGCTTTACATAAACGAATAAAAGAAACAAGTATAAGAAATAAAAACATCAAACATTTAAAAAACATTCAAATGTTTAAACAGGTATGTAAAAGAAAAGAAAGACATAATAATGTGATCTGTGGGACGTAGAAGAGTGAAGGTAAAGGCACAGTGAAACAGATGTGTTTTCAGTATTGATTTGAATGTACCTAACGTTGGAGCACATCTGATCATTTCTGGAAGCTGATTCCAGCAGCGGGGGGCGTAGTAGCTGAAGGCGGATTCACCCCGCTTTGACTGATCTGTTGGAATTTCTAGTTTATATGATCCTAAAGATCTGAGTCATCTGTTTATATACAGTGAGCATATCTGTAATGTATTGAGGTCCTAGGCCATTTAGTGATTTATAGACAAGTAATAATACTTTACAATCCATTCTGAATGTAACTGGGAGCCAGTGTAAAGACCTGAGGACCAGTGTAATGTGCTCTGTTTTTCTGGTTCTGGATGAGCTGCAACTGTCTGACAGTTTTTTTTGGAAAGGCAGTGAGGAGTCCAGTACAGCAATCCACCCTGCTGCTTATAAAATCATGAACAAGTTTCTCTAAAGCCTGGTTTATACTCGACGTGTCCGCAGAGTTTACGGATGTTCGCTTTGGGTTTCGCTTTATTTTTAGTTCGCTTTTTTCGTTTGATTTAAGTTGAAAATGAAACACTCTGAAGAGATTTTGTCTGAAACAGTATGACTGTACAGACATCTTTATGATCCTCACTGGAAGTCATCACTGGAATCAAAGCATCTTATTCTTGCAATGTTTTGTGATGATAGTATGCTGATTTAGTTACTGTTTTGACATGACTGAAACTCATATCTGACTTCAGAATCACACCAAGATTCTTTGCCTTATTTTTTGTAATTTGACCCTTAAGGGGGTCACACTTGATGTGCCGCTCGGCGACGCGCCACTCAGCTCCATGCATTTTAGAATTCTAAACATAGGTTTCTATCAGGATACATACACCAGTGCCGCAAGTCGGCGGCTGTCCGCGGCGCCCAGCCATGACTCAGGACACTGTTTGTAGCGGCTTTCCAATGCCGCTATTGTTGGTAGAGTGAGCAAGTTTTTAACGCGTGAAAGTCAGAGTCCGTAGGCAAATAGATGCAAATAAAAACGTCTTTATTTTCCAATCAACTTCCAATCAACAGAATTACTTTGGCTCTTTCCTTAATCTATATGCACACTTCTCTGTTACCTTGAGTTACGTTGAGTTACGCTCAGTTACGAGACGAGACGCTCAGTTACGAGTCAAGACGATACGGTCAAAAACTGTGCGCTTCCGACCAACACTATCTTACTCCATGCAGTGAAGCCACAGTTATATAGTCTCCTACTGACACCTTGTGGCCAATAGCCAAAATACAATGTATGGCTCCTACACTGTTCATATTTCTGGTGCGCCACAGATCGCCATCTGAATAGTTTCATTTTAAATACATGTGAAATGCATCCGGTGTGTGACCTGCTTTAGAGCCAAGGTACACATTCACCTTGAGAACCTCATTTCTGCTCCCAAATGAAATGACTTCAGATTTTGTTTGACTGAAGCAAGT